CCCTATAAGAAATGCCTCACCCTCCCCACCCAAGAAGCCACATTCTCATGGACCTACCACCCCTCCAACTCCACCCTCGACGCCATCTTCTCTGGTTCTTTCCTCTCGCCCTCCGGCTGGGTCGCCTGGGGAATCAACCCTCTCTCCCCCCAGATGACAGGGACTCACTCGGTTGTCACGTTCTCCGACCCCTCCTCCGGCACCCTCCTTGCCCTCCCCTTCCTCCTTAGACCCTCCGTCAAGCTCCAACTCCTCCCCCTCGTCTCCCGCTCGCCCCTCAACCACGTAACAACCCTCTCCTCTCTTCCTCCTCGCCTCCCTCCACAACCCCCTCCCCCCCACACCGCGCCCACGTCCGCATCACGCCATCTTCAACTAAACCCCAACCAAACAAGATATACCTCGTATGGAACCGCGGCCTCTACGTCCAAGGCTACTCCCCAACCATCCATCCCACCTCCCTTCCGACCTCAGCTCTCGCGCCAGTTGTTGACCTGCTCTCCTCTCTGGCCACCATCAAACCACGCTCCCCGCCGTCCTCGATCCATCCATGCGATAACTTAACTCTCTATCCTGGGGCTTCTGCTCCCCGTCGGTGTCCTGACTGCACGATACCTCCGACACTTCCCCAACGTCGGCCCGACATGGTTCTATGCGCACGCCGCCCATCCAATGATCCCCGGATTCTTCATTGGAGTTGCGGGGTTCATCATCGGGATCATAATGGGTGCCGACTCCGTGGGCGTGACGTATGGCGTTCACCGAGGGCTTGGCATCGCGGCGGTGTGCATGGGAGGGCTGCAGGCAGCGGCGCTGATGTTCAGACCGGGGACGACCAATAGGTATCGGAAGTACTGGAAGAGCTATCATCACTTGGTCGGTTATGGGTGCGTGGTGGTCGGGGTGGTGAACGTGTTCCAGGGGTTCGAGGTGATGGGGATCGGGAGGTCGTACGCGAAGCTGGCGTATTGCCTGGTGTTGTCGACGGTAGTCGGGGCTTCGTGGGTGGTGTTTTGTAGGAAGGCGGAGGAGGAGAAGGTGTTGAGAAGGGAGGAGGGGAGTGATGGGATGTTGTCTAAAGGGAATGGGGGTCTTATATAATTATTTTACTTTTTTCGCAAGTAATTGTATGGATTTTGAGGTGGTTTTATGTGAATTTGTCGTCTGAGCGACGTCCCTTCTTTTTTTTCTTTTTTTTAATATAGTGGATTAAGGATGATTACTACCACGATCAAGTGGATGAATTTTGTTTTAGTTAGTGGATAGTTGATGATCGAAATGCTATTCTTAAATAATGCATAAGGGTAGCGGAATTTAAGGATCAATGTATTCTTCAAGAATTTTTCTTTTATTTTTTTATTCAAGTTGCGCAATGAAGTAAATGAGATATACTAACTAGTTTTAGTCAATAATGATGGAAAGTTAATGTGTCTACGGTAAACACTTACCCGCTACAGTAATCACCAACCGTATGCCACTAAATATTACTGTAGTATCACTGTAGCAACAGTGCGCACCTATCACAAACTCATCTATATATAGCTATTCCTGGCGTTAAGTTCTGATTATCTCAATGTCTCCAATTAAAAGTGAAAAGAAAGAGAGAGGGAGAGAGAAAGAGAGGAAAATAGAGAGAGTTTCTCCTTGAAAAGAGATATTGTAACTCCTAAGTGTTTCCTTATAGTGAATTCTTCTATCCTTTTCGATTATTTTTTAACCGAAATTCATGTAGAGGGTTTTCCACGTAAATCTGTGTGTTCATTTTATTACTTCTACTTTACTATTCGTTGGGACTTGCTCTATTTGGCCCTGAGTTTATCCCAACAAGTGGTATCAGAGCCTAACTTAGGGTGCGTATATCTACCTATCGTATGCTCTATGACTGCCACAAAAAGTGGATCATCCACATCAAAAAATAAGTTAGATTATCACTTACCCTTTGAAGGCGACGTGTACTATTCACGAGTACATATTGTTCATAAATACGGTACTATTCACAAATATAGTACTATTCAGGGATATGATTACTGTTCTTAATTACAGTTACTGTTTACGTGAAATAGTAAGAAATTACTATTCGTGGTAGAAGCAATGGTGGTGAAGTTCGAGATTGAGAAATTTAACGGGAGTAATTTCTCACTATGAAAGTTAAAGATAAATGCTATCTTGAGAAAAGATAATTACCTACCGGCCATCGGTGCAAGGCCAGATGACATCATAGATTATAATAAGTGAAACAAGATGAATGGAAATGCTATTGTAAATCTCCATCTGGCATTAGCAGACGGGGTGCTGTCAAGCATAGAGGAGAAGAAGAAAGCAATTGAGATCTGAGATACTCTAACAACGCCATATGAGACAAAATCGTTGCACAATAAAATTTTCTTAAAAATAAGACTTTACACTCTGATGATGACCGAATCTACATCAATGACTGACCACATCAACACCCTAAACACACTGTTCTCCCAACTCACAAACATTGGGGCATACAATCAGTGTGAATGAACATGCAGAACTTCTACTTCAGAGTCTACCTGACTCGTATGATTAGCTCATCATCAACCTAACAAACAACGTCCTCACAGACAATCTAGTCTTCGACAACGTTATAGCCGCTGTTCTGAAGGAAGAAAATCAGCGCAAGAACAAGGAAGACAGGTAGGCAAGTTAGCAACAAGCAGAGGCCTTATCGGTGACGAAAGGAAGATCAACAGAATGTGGCTCCAGTGGGAGTCATACCCATGGTAGATCAAAATCAAAAAGTAAGAAGAATATCAAATGCTACAATTATGACAAAAGAGGACACGTGAAATCAGAGTGTTGGCACAATAAGAAAAATGGTGACAAAAAGTCTTCAAAACAATCAACATCTCAAGGATGCGTTGTCAGCACATCAGATGATGTGAAATTTTATACAGTGTAGCAACCACTGTTGATGAAGGCAGAAAGAAGTTTACTGATGTCTGACTTCTAGATTCAGCAGCCTCCTGACATATGACCTTTCAGAGAGAATGGTTTCACAAATATGAACCTATCTCAGGAGGATTTGTATTCATGGGCAATGATAATGTCTTGGAGATTTCTGGTATTGGCACTATCAAAATTAAAATGTTTGATGGTACAATACGCATCATTCAAGATGTGCGACATGTGAAGGGCTTGAAGAAGAATCTATTGTCTTTAGAACAATTAGATGAGCTCGGGTACAAGACCCATATAGAGAACGTGATCATGAAGATTGTTAGAGGGGCGCTTGTTGTGAAAAAAAAAAAACCTACGAATCTATACATGCTCAAAGGAGAAACCCTACATGAAGCTGATTCATGTGTGGCATCAACTAGCCATAAAAAAAAAACAAACCATGATGTGACATCGCAAACTAGGCCACATGTCAGAACGAGGCTTGAAGATTCTCTCCGATCGTAAACTGTTTTTTAGATTTAATTCGATAGCTCTTCCATTCTGCAAGTATTGTGTTACAAGTAAGCAACATCGGCTGAAGTTTAACACATCGAGTTCTAGAAGCAAGGTTATTCTGAAACTAGTTCATTCTAATATATGGCAAGTACCAGTTACATTCAAGGGAGGAGCAAAGTACTTTGTGTTCTTTATTGATGATTACTCCAGGAAATGTTGGGTGTATCCTATCAAGAAGAAGATGGATGCATTTTTAATCTTTAAAGCCTACAAAGTGCGACTCGAGCTCGAATCTAAAAAGAAGATCAAGTGCTTAAGGTCAGATAATGGAGGAGAATTCACAGACGGTGAATTTCTTACATTCTGCAAGCAAGAAGGCATCAAAAGACAATTCAGTACTGCTTATACTCCTCAAAAAAATGGAGTGGAGGAGCGGATGAACAGAACTCTACTGGAAAGAACAAGAGCAATGTTAACTACAAGTTTGGATAAAGTCTTTTGGGCAGAAGCAATAAAAATCGTCTGTTATGTGGTGAATCGATCTCCATCAACGGTAATACAGTTAAACACGCCGATGAAGATATGGACCAGCAAGCCAGCTGATTATTCCAACCTCTATATATTTGGAAGTCCAGTGTACGTAATGTAAAATACCCAAGAAATTACAAAGCTGGATTCAAAATCCAGAAAATGCATATTCTTAGGGTATGCTGACAGAATAAAGATGTATCGCTTGTGGGATCCCACGACCCGTAAGGTTATCGTCAGCAGAGATGTTATCTTTGTAGAGAACCAACTACAAAGTGAAGAGAAAGAAAGATGTTCAATGAAGAACTCAGAGACTGTAGATGTTCAGGTAGAAAATGGTCAAAATTCTTCTGAAGCAACACCGGAGCATGATATACAAGAAACAGTCAGGTCCGAGACTCCAGAAGTTCGAAGGTCAACTCGTGAGAGAACACCACCAACTTGGTACTCAGAGTATATTACGGAGAGTAGTGTTGCATAATGTCTTCTAACCGAGGATGGAAAGCCATCAACTTTTCATGAAGCTATAAATAACATAGATGCATCTTTGTAGATGGGAGCAATGTAGGAAGAAATTGAAGATCTCCATAAGAATAAGACTTGGATACTTGTGTCACTACCACAAGAAAGAAAGACCATTGGAAATAAATGAGTGTATAAGATCAAGCGAAATAGCGATGATCAAGTGGAGCGATATCGTACTAGATTTGTGGTAAAAAGATATGCTCAAAAAGAATATATTGACTTTAATAAAATATTTTCTCCTGTAGTTCGACTTACAACAGTTCGAATAATCCTGGCTATGAGCGATATATTTGACTTACATTTAGAGCAGCTAGATGTGAAAATAGTATTTTTTTTCATGGAGATCTTGAAGAAGATGTTAGGTCTCATGTTTATGAGCCTAATATCTAATTTAGTTTTGATGATTAACAAATAATTCCTAACATCGTGTGTTGAGTATTTGCATTTATTTTGTTAGGTAATCTACACAAATATCCTCAGTTGGCACTAGTGGAAAACCAGGAATCGTTGACGGGCATTCCCGTCAAGAATGCCTAAATACCCGTTGGCGATAAATATCCTTGACGGCTTCCCGTCAAGGATACACCGTCAGCAATAGTCCCGTTAGGGAATAATTATCCCTAACGGGGTGCTGTCAGTAATATACATTACCGACGGCAACAACGTTGACGGCAAATGCCGTCAGTGATAATGAAACAACGCTGACGGCTATCCTGTCAGCGATGTTATGTATATCACTGACGGGGCTCCCGTCAGTGATGTTTGTTGCTGACGACAATTCATCAGCGCTGAACCCACAACCGCTGACGGGAATCTCATCAGCGATACATATCCCTGACGGGATTACTGTCAGCGATATTATTCACATCGCCAACGGGATACCGTCAGCGATAACCTATCGCTGACGGGATTCCCGTTGGCGATGTTATATACATGTTTTTACCGAAAGCCGTTTTCATTGTCGATTCCATTAAAACTTAGATCGTTTACAGTGAATTACAATGAAAAATAAGCAAATTACAACTATCTTAGAAAATAATAAAAAAATCGTTTATCGACTTCTGCTTTGTGGGACTTTGCCTGTGCCGGGAGTGCTTTGGCTCGTGGACCACCAAATCATAGATTGTCAAGATTTTAGGGATTCTTTCTTCGTTTATCGAAGTAAGAGTTTGAAGCGAATATCTTATCGATGTAAGATGTTCACTCTTCCAAAGATTAAGTCAGAGCTTAGATCTTTAGGAATTACTAACCGTTTGGATACCATGGTGTTTTACTTGTTTCCATGGTGTTTTTGCCAAAAACAAAACGCCATGCGTTTGGAAACCATGTTGTTTTTTGAGCTAAATAATCCTCAAACCAAAAACACAACACTTATTTCGAAACACCTTTTAGGTGTTTTAATATTGGTGTTTTGGTTTTGAGTTTGAGAATGTGTTAATATAATATCTAATATAATATATTAAATGTAATTAATATAGAGTTATTATCAACATGCTTATTATATTATATTAAAATATACTATATTATAGTTAATTTAATATATTAGTAATATATTAAATAATATAAAAATATAATAAATAAAATATCTTATATAATAATATAATAACATATTAAATATCAATATTTAATATGTTAATAATGTATTATATAATAATAAAATATAAATAAAATAATAAAAAAGTTATTGATAATAAATAATAATATAATAATTAAAATATCTTATATAATAATATAATAACATATTAAATA